TTCTGCCCCTGACCGGAGGCTCCCAGCTGGTCCCAGCCCCCTCACCCTGCCCCCCTCAGCTTTGCACATGACCACAGGGCTCCCAGCGCCAATCACGGCCCCGCCCCCAGCCGCTCCCCGCCCCCGCCAGGCTTCCGTCGGGCGTCCAGCCGGAAATTCAGAAAATACTGGACATTGCACATATCCGGTCTTTTCTGAATTTTTCTACCGGACAGATGGTGCAAATACTGGACTGTCTGGTAGAAAACTGGACACCTGGCAACCCTAAACACAACTGAAATTTGGAGAAAACTGAATTTTTCTGTTAAGTTTTACAGCACTTTATTATTTTTGTACTTTTTATACCCACAAATTTCATCGCCTGCACGGCTATGATTAAGTTGTTTAAACGTGTTGCAATGGTAGAAAACATTTTGTGCATCTGAAAACTGTAGGTACTGGGGGTACTTATAATTTTTTTAAAGGGGTACTTTATAAAAAAAAGGTTGAGAAACACTGCTCTAAACCACATTCCCCTAGTTTGCTTCTGAATATATCAGGTAGAACTGTTTCAAAAGTCTTATTAAAATTAAGATATGTCACATCTGCTGCTTCCCCCCATGCAACAGGTCAGTAATCCTGTCAAAGAAGGAAATTAAGTTGGTTTGGCATGTTTTGTTCTTGACAAATCCATTCTTGACTATTCTAACTTTATCCTTCAGGTGTTTGTAAATGGATTGTTTAATAATTTGTTCTGTATCTTTCCAGGTACATTATCGTATAGTAAGTAATTGCAAGGCAATAGCGGGGATGGGGGAATGTGTTTACATCCAATTTGCTTTATGCATTACTTAATTTTTTTTAAAATAGCCTAAACAGAGGGATGATCTTGAGATATGCCATGCATCTTTATTTCCATTCAATGTCAATAGGATGTCAATATGAAGTGAAGATGCTCATCATTTCTCAGGATTAGGCCCATAAAGACAAATGAAGTATATTATGGAAGCTAAATTAATCATTAAATGTAATACCACTTGCATTTGTAGAGTTATATCGGGCACAATTTGACCTTTGGGGTTTATTTGGTTTGTTTTTTGTTTTTAACTTTTGCTGTGTGGTGGACATTTTGCTGAAGAGTGATATCTGCAAAGAAGAATTTTCATACTGATTTACAGCCTTGTTTGATTATCTGTGTAAGGGTTATTTTTGCAAATTTTACCCAGTATTAAGTCTTTCAAAACTTGCTTCTAATTTTCCCTGGATGATACTTTGTATGAATGTTACACTGCAGTGATTCCTGCTTTTTGTCCCAGGTAACTGTTACTTCTACCTCCTTCTGATATCCCATCCTGATTAACCAACTTGGGATCACAGTATGAAATTTAAATAAGAGAAGCTCCAAGGTAATGCAGCACTGATGGGCTCAAGAAGAAATATTATGCTCTGCTACCACTGACATGCTATGAAATAATATACAAATATTAAAATGAAAATAAATTCCTAAATGAAGTTTCAAAATTCCAAAATGAGCATTTCTCATTTTGAAATACATCTGTTTCACCAGAATGCTCACTGAAATCCATACTGTTTTAAAATGCCTTGATTTTAATAAAAATGGCATTTTACATAATTGACCACATTCACACTCAATTTAAAGGTTCTAGTGATATGCAGCAGGATTCAGGGAAGGGTATATAAACCCTGGCAGAAATTAAGGGGAGAGATGACATGACTCTGTGTACCCTTCTGCCTGATCCCCACATCACAGCATCAAGAAGCTATCTCTCAGTCTAGCACTGTTTCTGCAACA